TTGACTCATTTTCCATAAAGCAAAAAATGGGATTATGCAAAGTCATTTTTAAAATAGAATGAATGTTTGCCCTCCAGCTATGTAGGCCTCCTATAGAATACAAGCTTGCATCTTGTTTCTACTAATAGGAACACCTGGATACTCCAGAACTTCAGCCACTCACTGCTGACATGCTGCATGAGACGGACAAAGTACGAGGGCTGCTCTGAAACTAATGCTGCCTATTTTAAGTTGGTCAGTGAAGTCAGAGGCAAATGTTGGTGGTGTGACAGTAGAGGCTGAACAGTCCCAATAATATTTTGTTGCTGTGCAACAGATGGCAGCAGAGGGGCAGTCCGACAGAATGGCATCTGGCATGGAAGTGAGTGTGAAGCAAAGGTAAGGAATGGAATTCATCCAGGCAGAAAAAACTACACCTACTCACATTCATTGATGCTTGCTGAACACTGATGGAGAATAAACAGTGGATTCCAGCACAGTGAAGCAATGGATGGTGCACTTCCCCAACAATGCCACGGCATGCAGGCTCTTATTCATTGCCGATGAAAATACAGAGCTAGTGGTGGTAACTGTTGAAAAATACTCTTTGATAGCTGAGAGCTCTATCAAAGAGCATTACTGTACTGTCTGTATCTGTAGTAGTTTCTGGGTAAAAAACAGCAGGAAGCATTACTTCCAGAGCAACCTATATACATATTCCTACATATCCAAATATATAGGTGGCCTACTGCAATGACTGTTTCCTGCTTCTGAAGAATTAAATTTAACATGTTAAGGGGGCAGAGCAGATGTTCTCCTTCACTCCAGGACTATCTCCTCTGTTTCTTCTATCAACTGTACAGGAAGCCTGGGAACAAAGTTTTTTCCCTTAGCAAACTGGTGGCTGCAAGAACATCTCCTTTAGTCTTGTACATGTCTCTGGATTATCTATCCTACGCATGTACAGCTTGAGCAAGGGTTGTTTCACAGCTTCAGAGAGGAAGGGGTTACCATGAGCTCAACGTTTCCAGCCCAGAGAAAAACCTATAGAGTCCCTTCTTCTGGCAACCCTGGGGCCTGGCAGCATATAAGAGTAGAAGCAGTCCCAGCAGTGAAGCACTAATAACCACTCTGAGCAAGAGATCACGCCATTTTCGTAAATTGCTACAATCCTGGCGTACGCTGAAGTTTGTTTTTACCTATACTTGGCTATCCAGCACAGTGAGGCAATAAATCCCCTGTAGCAATGGAGCAAGCCCAGCATCTGCACATCCAGTGCATATCCGTGGTGGCCAGAGACTTGTGCTGTATGGCCAACAGTGATAAAGACACATGGCCCACTGACTGCAGGCAATAGCCCTTGAGATCTCGGCTTGGGTTTTTGCCTTCGGAAGACATTTAAGGAGCTTGTGGCAACTTTTTCCATGGCTCTCAAAGATTTTTCCCCAGAAGATCTGTTGTTCAAGCTGAAATACCTATTTTGGCCTTATCCTTAAGACAACTTTCACAATCTGTTGAGGCAAAAGGGATTTTCCTTTCAGAAAAATTCAGCAGTTAAGCTTAGTCATACATATCTACATTAGGAAAATATTTTTATAATGTTACTGAAACCTAGTAGATTAGAAAGCCTGCTACACAAATTACACTTTGCAGTTCTTTGCCTGAGGCTCTGGGGGAGACAAATTTTAAGTAATCAGCATCCAATCTTATCTTTACTGGCTATACTAATTTTAAGGAATAGATTCACCACAGAGCTCTATGTTTTAGTCTCTAATTCCCTGGAGTCCTTGCTTAAAAGAGCAACAACCACCCAATAGAATCATATGATGACATAATGCAGGAACACTTTCAAATCAATACTGATGTTAAAAAGCAAACAAAAATCTCAAATTCAACATGCTCAGAGTTGTTGCTTCGGAAAAACAAGGCAAGATGATCTCCTTCGGGTGACTCAGAACCCATGAGACTTTCTCCCACTATAAACTAACACCAGGCACGCTCCAGCACCTGTCTTTTACACTGTGGCTGTGGGCAAGACTGGCAGAGGGTTCAGGATCTCTCCATTAAAAACCACAGGGAGGAAAGCTCACAAACAACTGTGAGGACAATCAAATGCTTGGAGGCACCTCAGGACTCATTCCAATGCAGATGAAAACACCAGAAAAGCTCACAATGGGAGAAGAGGAGGAGAATTTGGAACCCCTCCTTATCTCAGGAGAGACTCTTAACTCACCCAGCAGGACATGTGGTTTGTCAGGATGCTTTGGCTCTACACTTTTCCACATGAACACCCTGTACGTACAATTTGTACTCCCCAAGCTGTACTTGTTACTAGGGCTGCAATCCACAGACAAAAAAAACAAAGTGAGCCCATATGTTAGCTAGCTCTTACTCACTTTTGCTTTTAACATGTCCTCGGAGAGCATTCTTAATTTTTTCTTTCCACATTATACATACTCATGCACACCTGTGGGGTTAGGTTATTGTCCCCCCCCAGTTCCCCTTACATTCACAAAATCTGCTTTGTTATTCTTGTTTTAAGGTCTACAAGAGAGAATTCAAGATGCTGTAAGTTTTCAAAGTTGTTCCCCAGCTCACAGAAATGAAAAGAAAAAAAAAAAAAGCAGCTGTACAATTTCTTTTGGCAGTATCTTCTGCCACAAGCAGCCATTTTCATGCCCTCCATAATGAGGAGGAGTTTTGGAAGGCTCTGAATTGTCCGGGAAACAAAAAAAATTCCATAACTGGGAGACTGAAGAAAGTCTGAAATGCAAACTGAAGGCATTTCAGACACAATACACTTGATGAGTGGTTGTACAGATTGAGAAAGCATTGTTTCATCATCAGTTTTCAACTCAAATCATTGCCATCATATGAAAAATACCTTCCTCTATATTTTTAACCCTTCTTTTATTAGTAGGAAAAAAATCTAACAGATGAGTCGAATTTTTTTTTAAATCAAACTGGTCTTTTCCTTACTTTGAGGCATTCATTCCCATTTTACTTCAGTATGTTCGTGTTGAATACGTCTACTTATATTGGTTTATACTTCCCAGAAAACAGTGGAGGTTTCTTCTGTGGTCAGACCAGTGCTATGACTCATGGAATTGTGATCATCAGTCTGCACAAGAAGCAGAGGTCAGTCGGACAGCAGTGCATATACAGAAGTGAAGCTGCACCTTCCAGCCTACCAAATCCGTGAGGTGCTGCAGCAGAGAGGGGACATAAGCTCATTCTGGGCTGAGCTAGAACAAAGTACTCCAGCTCTGCACAGCATGCTAGTCCAAGATTTCAACCGTCACCATAAACACATATCTGAATTAATGCTTTCCTTCACTTTCCATTCTGTGAAATAAAATCTAAGGCTTTTGGGCCTAATTGGACATTTTCAGGTTCAAAATAAACTGAGTTCTCCAACAGATAGAATCCACTTCTCCCTGAGCTGCACTAGGGGCAGCTCACCTCTTCCTGCTTGGGAGCAGGATGACAGACTCAATATGCAGTTGAGGCTGCTTTCCAGAGCAGCTGGACACATTGGCGTGCGTAATTCAGGCGAATAACGAGCCCTTCTTTGTATGGATCTTTCAGGAAAGCATGCCTCTAATCCCTACAGAGGCATCACACACAGAACTCTAGAAATATGGCCTTTAAAAGAAGGAATAGATCAAATTTTAAGCAATTATGAACAAAAGCACATCCAAGCGGTACAGAAAGCTGTAACTGTAAACCAGTTACATCAGCAAAGCAACATTCCCAATGCTGAGAGAAGGCAAGATTTCAACTAAGGCTAAAGCAAGTTACTTGAGGCAGCTGAAAAAAAGAAGGTTCTGCCAGGAGTCACAGTTCTTCCATTCTCAGCACTGATGATGAACCACTCAAGTAACTGGGTGGCATTGCTCCTGATTCCTCTGGAAAAAGGCTCTCTGGGAAAGGACGTACAATAACTGTGGAGGGGAAGCTGAACAAAGTACAGAACACTAATTAAGTTGACTTTCTGGTTAGTCATATCAAGATAAAATGGAATTTGTGTCTCAAGTTTCATATCAGTTGAATTTCAATGATCAGTAGGATTGGTCTTACGGGGATGTTCCTTTCCTTCATTAGCTCTGTTTCCAACATATAGTAAGCTTGGAAGATTCCTGCCTGGAACCACAATCAAAAGTTTATAATATTCAATGACCTGGCTAGGGAAATAATTTGATTACCCCAGCAATAAATAGGTGTGATACAGGATTTCCTTATCACCCTGACACGGGTGGATAAATCATACGTCCCAACTATTGCTGCCTACTGCTCGTCTTCGAGGTTATCTCTAGGTAACAGATGGCCAGTCAGCACATCTAAATTTCACTCCTGCTATAAATTATCTTTTCAGTAGAGAAAGCATTTCTGTCTCTCCCCATGAACTACATTAAAGAGTTTATTTCGTGACGTAGGAGCATCAAATTAGTGCCAGACGTTTAGTACTATTATTACTACCAAGTTTTCTTTTCTCTTTGTAGCATGAGAATTCTAGAGCAGACTGTTCTCTGACCTTTACAAACAGTTCCTGCCTGCATCCAAACAAAAGGAAGTATGGCATAGCTAGTTTGTGATGAGATATCAATACCTTAGCTCCAGATGCACACAGAGAACAGTTGGTTTAAAATGAAAGAGAAGCTAAATATCAGTATACATTATAGTCTTCTTCAGAGCAGCCTACTCACAGAAAACAGCTTCTAGGCAAGCACAATGAATCACATTGATACTGGAAATACATACATTCCCCAGAAAGCTTCTGCTAAAAGCTTATCACATCGCACCAGATGGTTGGCTAGCTGATAAGAGGGAGCTCATCTCAAAAAAAGAAAAAGGAACAATCTACCAAAACAAACAACCAAAAAAACCCCAACCTCTAACAACATACATCAAGGGAAATCAAGGATGTAATAGCCTCCAGTGAGCCAGTAGGCACATCTGATGCACTAGCCAAGCTTGTTCAATTACACAAGACCTTCTCATCTAAGAGAAACAGCACCTACCATACCAAGTGCTCCTGGGAACAGCCATGAGTCTAATGGCCATACATACAAGGTCTTACTGCGTGCACGAAGCTCCCCAGTGAACACATCCAGCTGAGAATAAACTGGGAATTCGGGTCAGGAGATTTTCTTGCCACCACACATGGTGGTGCTACCTGCCTCTCACTAGGCAGCTACACGTGCAGAGGAAGAAGTGTCTATAATTGCTAGGATAGTAGAAAAGTCAGGCAGTTGTTCTCAAGTCTAAAGCAAAAACAAAAGCCAAGTGGAAGCATGCTCCACAAAACTTTTCTCCGTGGATATCCCTTCCTCCTAAGCACAAGTCCTACCCTGAAAAATACCGTGAAAGAAAACTGCTGAAGTATTTCTACTGTTGAAGTTTCCTATGCTAGGAAAAACAGTTAATATTTTCTCCTAGTTCTAGCCTACCTAAGATGTTTAAACATAGAAGGGAAAAAGAAGGAAAGAGAGAAAAGAGTAAAAAGGGTCTTTAAACTCTAGGAATGTTTTTTCTGTAGTGAACTCGAAGTGACAGAGCTTCATAACAAAAGTTGAGTGTGTAATATTTTCCACTGCTTACGGTTCCCTTCTGAACTTCCATTTTGTGGGAATACACTTGGATCACTGCTGACCTGTTTCTGGAAAAGGCTCACTGTGTATTTTGGCTTGGCTTCCTTCCATTTCTACTCCTCTAAGTCTGTTCCCCATTTCAACATCTCTCATTGCCACATTCCCAAACATGTTACACAACCCCTAAGAAGCAATTTATAGGAACTTTAGTAATTCAGCTGTGACCAAACAAGCACTTCTCCCTTCTAACAGATCATTCTCTCTTGGGAATCATAGCTATGTGGCTGTTTGCTCACTTGTTTACAGCATTTCTCTGAATGCGATAGTCAGACAAGCAAACAACTCAAAGCAGAATAAATCCATGAAAGCCAATGTTTGCAGCAAATTTTAAAGCAAAACCTGGCTGGAAATATTCTGTGAAGGCCTTTCCAAAAGTGCCTAGAAGAGTTTTGTATGTGAATGTGCAACCTCCCTATAGCCAACCACATTGTGCCAAAGGCATGTACACAGATCCTGCTTTGATGTTTGTAGCCTGAGGCAGCACTGCCCCATATGAGAATCTGTAAGTGCCCTGAGGATGTAACCCATCACAGAGTAAAGGGTGTTTTCATAATAGCAATAGATACAAAGATATGAGACTGCATAGCTTATCCAAGACTGGAGTTACTTACATACAATGCATCACTCAAAGTCAGTGTCACTAAACGCAAGATTAACAACTGGTGTCTGACCTTGCAAACCCCTATTTCCTTGAACTCTGGCTCCCATGAAATATTCCTAGAAGCTACTAGTTTGACAGGTCAGAGGCCCTAGTTTTCCATATTTTGCCAGAAAATAACGTCAAGTTCAACATCGACTTGTTGAGGAAAAGAGGGCTCCTGTCTTGAGAGCTTAAAACCCAAGACAGAATCACATCTGTTTGCCTACAGAACAAAAGCTTCTAATTCATAGCATGGAGAAGATTGGGCTGACTTCCAATGTCCTTTTTCACCCTGTTTCAAACATTGTCATTTATGCAGATGAGCATGCTAAGTACAGTATCTACCTGCCACAGGTTATGGCCTGACACATTCACTTGAATGAAAATGACTGACTTCAAATTTATGCACTCATTACAAACTGTAGCTCATGGTCACATTTATTTCTGCTTGGCTGTACCTCCAGCAGTGATAAAGGTCTTTAGAAAAAAGGTTTGTGGTACAAACTAGTAGCAGTAACTGCCCAGGCCATCTCCATGAATTCTATTTTCAAGGCAACCCAAAGGCAGCCCTGCAGCCATACTCTGCTGTACCATGGCCACATCCATCCTCCTCTGCGCAGTTGGTATAAATTGACACAGGTTAACAAGTTAAGCATAATGTCACACAGTTAAGTGGAAAATTGTGAAAAACTCAGCCTCTTGCAGAAGAGGAAAAAAAAAAAAACATCTAGAGAGACCCCTGGATCTGGGCCAGGGAACACAAGCAAAGCAGAGAGCTGCTTATGCAGCTGTCATAGTGATGATGGCTTATGCAGCAGTCACAGCTGATGGCTGCCTAACACCCACCTGAAGGTAAATTAGGTTTCCCAAAAGCAACCCACACAACCTTGCCTGTGAGCATACAAGGAGATGGCCTCATAGACATGAAAAGGCAGTTCTGCATGTAAGGCTAGACAAGCAGTCCAATGCTCTCTACCCTTGCCTTGGTGATAAGCAGATTTTATGTTTATCTGCCCCAAATCCCTGCAATCATCCAAATAATCATGTTATGTCACCAGAGAGGTCTTCATCAGAGTTAGTCAGATGTAGGCAAAAATAAGTATCTCAGTCACTGGTGCTATCCAGTTCCCAATAATATCCTTAGCAAGTGAACACAGAGTAACACACATATCTGTTCCCACAGTGTCTTCCCATACTCACCATATGGCTCTCCCTTGTTACATCCTACAAATATAACTTCTGCCATGAGTTAGTGCCTACCAATACAACAACAAAGCCAACATCATTATGCAGACATCCAGCTGCTGGGGGATAGGTAAGCAGCACACTGTCCAACCAGCCATTTCAACCACCACCTTCTCATTTTGTAGTATGTTATCTCTGGTTACATGTAGTTGATGCATGCATCTTGGTGAAGGCTCAACAGGAATGTGTATGTATGGACACAGCTTGGCAAAAAAAGCCCTCAGTTGTTCATCCTGCTCAGTTCTGAGCAGATAAAGCTGTTTATCTCGTGTTGCACCACTGGGTCCACACACTTCAGCTTGTCTGGCCTGGCACTCTTTCCGTGTGGCACCTGAGCACAAATATAAACTCCTTACCATCCTTTCAGAATGGAAGCACGAAGGAAAAACGTTTATTTAAAACTGAAGAGCAATGACAAAGCACAGTGTGGAGACAGGAACAAGCAGAAGTGTCATAAGCTGCTGTCTCCAAAGCTGACAAGTCATGTAACACACCCTCAACTGCTGAATGTCAATGCTAATGAGCAGATTTTCTTCTTCCTCCGAGCCTTCCATTTCTTTTCAGGGCAGAACTAAAGGCTCTGTAGGCAATACCAAAAAAAAAAAAAAAAAAAAAAAAAAAAGAGTAGGCAAATCAAATGACAGATATTTATCAAAAAAGAGGGAAAAAAAGAGACAACTGTCCTACATACTCCACAAGGATTTTAGTAGCTATAGAATGACAAAAATAGAGTTGTGCTATAATGGCACTACAAACCAGTAACTTCTCCACTGTCCAAACTGGGAAAAGGTGAAAATGCAAATAGAACCAACATGGGGTAAAGGCAGTAGGAACCTTTGGGACGAAAGAAAAGTAAATTGAGCCTTCCTGCGCTAAGTTTCTGGGAAATAATAAAGTTAATGAAAAACTGCTATATCCAGACTCAGTATAGAGATTTACTGATGGCTTGTGCAGCACAGTGTGATCTATTAATTTTCTAGTTCCCAACAACAACAAATACTTGGGCTTCCTCTGTCAAAGACATTTTATCCATGTTCAGGCTGAAATACATTAAATCTCAGCATTCCAAGACCTTATTAGATGTGTCATGATGATACCAGAGATGAACTTGTGGACTTGCTGCTCAAGTTCACTCCCATGGGATTTTTAACTTGTCAATGCTAAAGCAAAACTCAGGCAAGATGCACTGCCTGACATTTCTAAAGCACACAGAAGAGAAATTAACTTGAAACCTGGCCTTAATAAGACCACCTGAACTGACATTTACCTGCCTGAGGTGAAGGCAAGGCATAGAAAAATACAGGTGGGCTTAGATGGATACTGGCAGTAACTTTTAATTAAACAGTACAGTAACTTTTAATTAAAAGAGGAAATGACATTGAAAATCAGGCAGAATTTTCATCTTCTCTGTTGTTTGGGGGTGATGGCAGAGCAAAGATGCTTACAGCATTTTGTTCTGCTTCAAATCACCTCCCACATTATTAGTCTCTTATCACAGCAAAACCATTCTATATATGCCTTCCCTAGCTAACAGTCCTGATACAACCACAGGAGTGAAAAATAGCAGTTTGATTGTCCATGCTCAAATTTTTCCATCCTGTCCTGGTTTGAGCTGGGACAGTTGTTATTCTTTAGTTTTTGAAAGTAAGCAAACAAACGAAAAATAACATTGATAACACACTGATGTTTTAGTTGTTGCTGAGCAGAGCTGTACAGAGCCAAGAATAGTTCAGTTTCTCAGTTTCTTGTACCATCTTGCCAGTGAGGGGGCCTGCAGCACGAGGAGCTGGGAAGGGACAGAACCATGAAGGCAGACCTCAACTGGCCAAAGGGAAATCGTGTATCACATGATAGTGTGTGAAGAAACTACTCAATATATTTAAGCACAAGCAAACTGTTGAAAGAAGTCAAACTTGTGAAGTTTCTCCTCCCTCATACTTTTAGGAATAGAAAAAAGGCAGAACCTTCTCCCAAATATGCACAGATAATACAAACATACTTTAACAAGCTTTCACCGTCAAACAGCCCTAGGGAGTAGATTTACTTTAATGTGGCTGTCAACTCAGAGAACTAAGGATCACTGAGCCCACTCTACCACATCAGTCTACCACATCACTGTCCAGGATCAAGAAAAATACTGTACAACAGTGAAAAAAAAAATTTAACTTGGTTTTGTACTGGTTTGTGGCCTCTGAGACACTGACTTTAATCTGGATTTTAACTTCCTCTCATAAGAAATATTAAATTCGAAGTTATCCACACACACCAAAAAATAAAAGTCAGGAGGGAAAAAGCAAAGTTGTTAATTTTGTCTGTGGAAACATGGCAGAGGTCAAGCCCTCTCTAAATATTTCTTTTTCATATCACCTGCTTATGGCAGAGAAAAGGAAGCCAACCATAACAGTGAGAATTTTGTAAATGATGTTCAAAGAGAACAGTCAGCTATTCCAAGCCATGCTGGCATGAAGAATCCATTTGTCTCTTGATAATTTCTTATCTACATCTTTGTAGTCACACCTTCCTTCAGCATTTAAACTCCACAATAGGTTTTCCCGCTTAGAAAATAGGAATTGAAGTCACGGTAAACCTACAAAAGCCAGAACCTCATTCTGATGTGGTTTAATAATTACCATTTTGCTTTACAGCAAGTTTGATAACATCTGAAGTTT